ATCTAGCATGTTGTATATGTTCCTAACCATGCTTCACAAAATAAATGTTGAGTGTTTGTCAATTACAATGTTTTGTTTCCTATGTCTTGTCGTTTATATATGTTCTCCGATCGGGTCTCCATTTAAAGTTTCTGGGGTCACCTGTAACTCTAAGAATTTCAAATGTGCAACATATTTTTAAAATATTCAATGTTGGCTTTATTATATATAAAGCAGCCAAGGGGCATGATGTGTGTTCCTAGCGACCTTATCGTAAAATGATGAGAAACATCCTTCGTCTTCATATGTAATTCTCTATGATGAAGAAATCTCCTTAATTTCCATCATAAAATTTATTTCTCTCAACTTTCAAGTAGCATTTGGATTGATGGATTTTAATTTGAAATCTTGCATTTCAAATCTCATATTTAAAATTCATATATTTAATATCCTTTATTAAGGTAATTTAAAAAATTTTCAAATAAATAAGAGAGATGGACTAAGATCGAAACAAAAATGAAAAATTAACAATAACATGTTTATTTTTATTTTTACTCTACAAGAGATGAGAAATTAAAAGATATATACAAAAAATATGGAGGTATTAATAGTGAAAATGTGAATAGAACAAGATGTTTGAAGTAATTAAAATCTAAAAAGACTAAAGTTTTAAGAAAATTTAAAATTATAAAGAAATTATAATTTAAAATGAATTTAAGATTTGAACTAAATCCATATTCATAAATTTTTATATATTTAAATGAGGAAAATTTAAATCAAATTCCCATTTATCCACACACATTACAAAGAACTCATATTTTTGAAATAGGTAGGCTTTACAATAAATGGCATTGCCTTTTAACAAAATGTAGCCTACCTTGTATATCTCAACTAAATTTTGACGGAACATAATGATGGTGATGATAATGATATATATATATTTCCTAGCTTCGTACCTACTTTCTTGTCCTTATTAGGGGGAAAAATAATCAAAAGCGAAAATAACACTCAATTTCCATAATGAGAACCTCAATAATTAGGACTAAGAAAAGTTTTTAAAGTTTTCATTGTATTTGAAACAAAGGGAGTATAGTGTAATAATCATTTTTCCTTTTCCAATTTTGTCTTCTATTGTCACACTATTTTAAAGTTTAACTACCTCAATTTAATGCCCTCAATCTATTAGAGGTGTTATTGGAAACAAATTAAATAATAAGTTTACATTAACATTTGGAATTGGACATATATTTAGAGACAAAATAAAAATATTATAAATTAGAAGAAGTAAATAGATATGGAGGAAGTACTCCCTCCATCTTAATTATAAATATTTTTAGATAAAATTTCACATATCAAGAAATCTCATTAAATATATTTAACATATATTTTCAAAACAAGAATATAAACTTTTAAAAATACTCATCATTTAATATATTGAAAAGAGAAGGGATGGAAATTAATTATAAAGTAGGAAAGGGTGATATTAAAATTGATGTATCTAATAAAACCTTAATTTATTCAAAATGTCATATATTTTGAGACAGAAAAACTCTTTTAAAAATACCCTATAATTTGTGATAAAGGGAGTATTATTTACCTTGATTTTATACAATGAAATGGGAATTTTTTTCTTCTCTTGAATATAAAAGTCTTATATGTTATCTTTGTACAATATTGGAAACAAATTAAATAATAAGTATACATTGAAATTTGGAATAGGACATATATTTAGAAACAAAATAAAAATATTGTAAATTAGTCCTTCATTTTTTTCACTTCAGAAAATCTAAGCAATAAATATTTTTTTCCAAATCAATCCTTAATGTCTAAAAAATCATGTTTAACTTGGCCACGATTTCTTCTGGCCCAAAAAATATATATTCCACAGTTCCTCATAAATTTATTTACTTTTATCTATACATAAATGGCTATTTTTAGAAGATGATGCAATAAACTGTTAAGATTGAGAGAGAAATTTATGAGATATTGAAAGAGACAATTGAGACGTATAGACCAGGGCGAAATCAATATAAGGCTACGTACAACCAAGCCAAGGCCATTGTGGCCTAACGACATTGGTACCCCTCATGTGCTCGATCCCAGGATGGCAAAAAGTGATGGATGTGTCTTCACCTATGGTATAAAGGTGTAAATATAGGTAGGTATGTGGTTATAATAGGCAAGTGTTCCTTTAAAAAAAAAACATATACAAACAACTCCCTTGATTTTTAAAAATTAATTATCAGCTATCTTAATTTTAATTCTCTGCAAATAATCATAACCATCAATTATATACTCATTAAGCTTCATAAATTATATTATGTGTAAAAAAAAGTCCTAAACTTTAAGCTATACCTACGTCCAAATAAGAATGGATACAACTTTTTATCCCAAAAAAAAAAAGTAATGAATAAAACTAATAGTAAGGGGGAGGAGAGTCCACTGCCTCCATCGTTGGCCCATTTCTTCTCTTCTCATGGATGTAGTCCCTCTATTTTTATTTATAAAATATTTTTAATCATATTATATGAGTTAAAAAATAATTAAATTAATTAAGACTACTAATTTTTTTTCAAGAATTACTATTCCTCCATTTTTAGTTATGAGTCTCAAATTTCAGACTCATTTTAACCCTAAAAACAAGTCTCAATTGTTAATTATATGTGTATTTAATGAGTTTTTCTTAAAATACCCTTTTAGAGGATTAAAATCACTAGAAGATGCATCAAGGAGACATTTAATTGAGGGTATATTTGAAAAGAAGAGGCTAGCTAATTTTTACATATATACTCCCTCCATTTTCTTCATAAGCAAAACTATAAAATTTATAGAATATTTATTACTTTTTTTTTCAAATTATTTCTCAGAAAATCAAAGTTTTTGGCTATTGACAGTGTTTACTCGTTATACTATTAGAAAAAAATCGAAGTTTCTTATTTTCAAGAGACAAACTTGTTTCATTAATTACTGTGATAATTGTATTCAAATATTTTAATTTCAGATATAATTATTATGCTTAACTAATTTTCAAATAATGTGAGTTGGTTAAAATTTGCTTACATTTTGATATAGATAAAGTATCACTTATGTTTTAGAGTTTTCTTGTTTCGTGTGTTAAAAAATTGTGACCTATATTTAGGGACCAAGGGAGTATAACATTCCTAAATTACTTTTAATTAAAATTATTAATTTATACCTTGAACTTTATATTGTGTTTCATTGGAGGGGAGTTTTGTTTTTTTTCACTCTACCAGCATTTGAACCTTTGCCAAGTGGATCAATGTCAAGCAACGAACCACAAAGGCAAAAGCCATCCTTTGTAGAGATGTGAAGTTAAAAGCTCTTAATTAATTGTTCTTACTTTTTCATCTTACATACTCTCTTTATTAAAATTTAAATGCTTCACTAAATTTTATAAAGTATCTTACTCCCTTAACTCTTATAGAATATTTCTCATCTTTTAAAATAAATTGATATGAGCATTAACTAACTTGTTTTCAAAATTTATCCTTATTTAAATTTTCAAGAATTTGTTCTTTTTAAATTTAATTTCATGCTTATAAATAGGGATAAACTTGAAAAACTATTTCATTTTTGGATCATCTAATGATTTAACTATATTTCCTTGATTATACTACATTAGTTGGAAATGTTCTATGCATAGGACTAGAGGAAGTATATTAAAAGTCAAACAAAATTTCTAGAAAGTGTCTTACATTAAAATAAGTATCTCTAAATATGTCAACAGCATATAGTTAATATACTTTTTAAATTCAAAACAGAGCAAGTGAATCACAGATTTTTTAAAAAAAATAAGTTGAATATTAACAAATAAAAATAATAGTTAGGAGAAGGTAGATCATAAAGCATACACACTTCTTATCTTACTTTGATTAAAAGCATGTAATATATATATATATATATATATATAAGTCCACTTAGCTAACTTTATCCTTTATATAATGCACAAATAAAACTCACTTAATTAGAAGGACAATAATTATACATGAGAAAAAAAATAAAAATAACAACTGTCTCACTGTAGAAATAGAAAATATTTAATACAGTTAAATGATAAAAATAATAATATAATAAATTTATATACTCCCTTTAGTCCTTATTTAAAACTTTACATGCGATAATTTAGTTAAATTTAGTTAATTCTATTAAAATTTTAAAATTACTCTCAATAAAGGCTATTTTGTTAGTTAGAAAATATCAAAGTAAAGAATATTTAGATAGAAAATTAGATAAAAAGTCTTATATTAAGATCCATAGAAAAAAAAACACGTCTTTTAATAAGGATTGTAGGGAGCACTAGTATACTCTCCATTCCATTTTTTTTAAAAAAAAATCAAAAATACAATTTATTAATAAAAAAGGGAAAAAAACATATTTAAGGAGTAAAATGATGAAAAATAATGTTGAAATAATCATTAATTAAATAAACTTTATTTTTTTCAAAACATCTTATTCTTATATTTTGAAATATCATCAAATTACCCAGAGAGGGTATTATTATTTTTATAGAAAAGGAATTTTGTTTTCTTTCACGTTCCAAACATGCGCTTGTATTCTTTTTCCCCCATATGGAGATCAGGGGTACAACTTTGTCCCTGACATTCAATGGTGTGGTCACACACACTCAGTTCCCACATAGGACGGTCGGGAAGGGAAGATGCAATAGGCTATCCTTGTACCTTTATGGAAAGCTGATCAACCATCAATCACCAATGGCCTTGCTTTTTCATGTCTCAACCTCAGACTCAGTTACAACATGAATCAACTTCCTGCTTTTTTGACTTTTTCTTACCTATGTTCAGTACATGGCCACCACCTCTTGGACATCATCACCCTGCACCTCTACCTAGACCAAAACAAAATACTGGGAATTTTGTCCGTTTCATCCCACTTTCCTCAGTGCTCTTTTGCCTCTGCACTCAAAAGCACCTTTCATAACCCTACTCTGCTTATCCTCATCATCATACTCAACAGTATGTGTGTGTAGAGTTGTTTCAGACTAGAAAGAAGAAACAATGTTGTACCTTCTTCAATTAAAGTAAACGAAAATTCTGTTCATGATGCAACTGTACAAGCAAACATGTCAACATGTAATCCTGTTTATGATCATATAACTACAGGTTCTTATTCCAGGAATTGAACAAAACTTTAAAATGCATCAGTTCCTTTTGCCGGGAACCAATGTCCTTATTGGCATTATTGACATTATTATTGTAATTTTGAAAGCGCACAATACTTATTTTGCCTCTTGCTTCAAATTTTGCTCATTCCAAGGCTGAAACTGAAAGACCAATGAGAGCTTTAGTCATGGAATAGGCAGGACAACTAGCCTGGTAGGACGAACAAGCCACTGAGTGTACTGTAAACACTTGATGCATCATGTGATGACTGTTGGCTTATCTCTCCCAGTGAATTCCTCGAGCTTCGACACCAACAAAGCCAAATCTACACAAGAAATTAGACAACTGAGTACATAGAATGTAGACGAGTAGATGTATTAAGCTGTACTTTGTCCTGGTAGATGGCAATAACCTATTAACGGTTTTAAGGCAGTTTGAGCGTCCACGTCATGTTTAGAGGGGTCTGATTCAAACTTTTCGATGTAAACTCTTATGGTTGCGCCTGCAGAACCCGTACCCTGTAAAAGAAAACATTGTCATCACTAATTTTCATTGGACCTCAAGTTACGAAACTAACTGAATCGTTATCGTAAGAGACAAGGTGGAGCAAAAGAATGGAATCCACGCACTGATAATCGATATATAATCCTTGATCCATCCGTGAAAACAAACCGAACACCTTGCTTTGACACCACACTTCCATCTACCTGTACAATTAATTAAATCATAAACAAGTTCAAGGAGAATATATAAAAAAGTCGTAGGCAGCTTTGACTGCCCCCAGTTTATCCAAAAAATAAAAAAGAATATATAAAAAGTTAAGCATGATGAAATATCAAAACTTACTGGATCAGTGTACATAAAATCATCTGCAAACTTGAGGACATAACTTCCTGCAGAATAACACTTTCCAAAACTTCAGTATATTTAGGTCATTGATTGAGAGACAAGGCTTGTAGCAACTTACCATACTTGTCACCTGGCTTGCTCTTTGAAATACTCTCTCGTAGGTGTTCTATCATCTTGTTGGCAGATTCTGATTCACACTCCTGAAAATGAACCATCAAATTTAAGTTAGCCTATAGGTTTATGAGGTACCAAAACTAGAGTCAAAAAGCTTCTTAAAACCTGAATACCACAAATATAATGCAAATACAACTACAAAATGCAGTTATGATAACAAGCATATACCTCATAGTCATAGCGGGAAAAGAAATTTCTACCATAAGTTGCCCAATACTCCTTCACAACATCAGATACAGAAATCAATTTTTCCCCTAGTTTCTTGTCGTTGTTGCGGTGTGCAATAATAGAAAGCCAAGCTAATACAGCCCTGTAATTCAGAAACAATTAGCAGACAGGCAAATTAACGTTATCATTGGAAGCAATGTCTAACACGATTCTGATAAAATGGCCAAAAAAAGCATAATACAAATTTCTTCTTATTCTGAAATGTAACAAAATTCAAAAAAATAAAATAATAATATCCTTAATAATGCCAGAAGAGAACCTATAGTATAACTCCACAATTTTAGAAATAGCATGCCCGGCACAGCATGCTTGACAATTCGTGTATAAGGAAACTGGATACTTCCCATAAACACAGAGTATACTTCACAAATACAGGTGAAAAACTTACCAGATGCCATCCTTCTCACGAATATGATCAGAACCTGTTCCAAAGCTCTCTTCTCCGCATATTGACAATTTTCCAGTATCCATAAGATTTCCAAAAAACTTCCAGCCAGTGGGGACCTAAAGAGAAGGAGGCCCATCCATGTTGTTATTACAAAGGTGTCTATGAACATAAATAAAGCTACCTCACCAAGGATCATTTTGAGTTGTAGGTGACAATGAATCGTGCCTCAAAGAAAGGAAGGTTCAATTTTTCAGCAACACGATCAAGAGCACCACTAGTTGGCATTGATCGAGCAAGACCCTGAAATTGAAACGAAGAATGTTTTCCTCCTCTATAAAGATGAATACTTAATAACAAAATATGCATGAACTTCATACCTTAACACTTTTCTTAAAGTATGGGATTGTTGCCTGTGCATTGGCCGCAATAACAGCGACAGAATCTGAAGGCGTAACAAAGAAGCCTCTTCCTAAAATCATGTTCCTATCACCATCACCTACACGATATTAAAAGAATTGCACATCATTGACAAAGGAAGAATACAAGCAGCACAAAAAGGCCACACTATGTTTGTAAAGCATACGGAAGGAATGAAGACCATCCTCATTGTATATATGGATGATCTTATCCTGACAAGGGAAGACATCAGAGAAATGGGAAGATCAAGAAGTTCTTGCGTATGAATTTGAGGTATAGGACCTAGGTCAGGTGGGATACTTCCTAAGAATGGAAATTGCCAAATCAAATAAGGGAATCAGTATTTAACAGAGTAAATCCACCCTTGAATTCGTGACTGAAACAGGAATGTTGGGTTGCAAGCCTATAGAAGCCAAGAAGAGATTTGATGGCCTGGGAGAACTTGTTGACAGAGAGAAATACTAGAGATTGGTTGGAAATTGACCAATCTTTTGCTGGTAAGGAGAGGATAATATTGAAAAGCAGAGGACAAAACATCTATGAATAATTTGCTTTTTTCAGCAAACTGCAAACCAATGCTAAATGCCCCATATACAGGCTTACACTTGTACTGAAATCAGCTAGAAATAATGAAGTAATTGACTTACGTGGAGAACATGCTATTTTGATTGGTTCAAAGCACCAATCTAGTAACAGACAGAAAAACTCAGACAATATTTTCTGATTTTTGAAGCACTGCTCAACATCTTTCCCATATGAAACATGACGTTGCCTTTGCTGTGACTATGGTTAGCCAACACATGCTCGCCAAAGCAAAGCTCAATTGGAAACAGCATATAGAGTTCCCAGGTACTTGAATTGCAGATGATAATTGGGAGGGGTCAACAAGAGATAGAAGATCCACCACTAGGTATTGCACATTTATATGAAGCAACCTTTTCGCTTCAAGGAGCAAAAAGTAGAATGTGGTGGCAAGGAGTAGTGCAAAGGAAGAATTTAGACTTGTAGCTCAAGGAATGTGTGAAGGCTTATGGCTTAAAAGACTATTAAAAGAGCTACAAGTCCAAATGGAACTTCCTATCAGACTCCATTGAGAAAATAAAACATCTATTAATATCTAAGTCAATCCAATTCAACATGATAGAACCAAGGGCCAAAGGAGGAATTAGTTGCATGACTTGTGTTCCTATTAGAGAACAGGTAGGTAGCAGACATCCTCACCAAAGGATTACCTCGTCATACATTGAAAGGTCTCATTGGAAAGTTGGACATGATCAATATCAATGATCCACCTTGAGGGGAACTGTTGAAATCTTGCATTTATTATAAATAGTCAAAATAATATTAGGGGCAAAAAGTGATAACTTGACCACCATAATCTTAGGAATCAAAAGCCGATTATGAGAGATCAAGGATCAATCAGTTTAATATTAAAAAGAAGTGATTTTAGTTAGGCTAAACATGAGAAAGTTGTTGGGAGTACAATTGAGTTGTTGGGAGAATTTAAACTAAACACAGGGATGTGTTGGAAAGAGTTTATGTTGATAAGCTATTCCAAATAGCTTAAAATAGCTTATAAAAAAAGTTATAAATATTTTTTTCCCAAAAAAACCTTTATGATTACCTTAATGTTCTCCCAACAAGTCTTAAGTGTTAAACTTAACTAAAATCACTTTTTTATTTAATTTTAAACAAACTGGCCCTCACGTTTCTGATCCTTTGCCCTGTCTTCAGCCCCTGGAAAAATCTATATATTTGTATTACTCTTGTACCATACAATCATCAGAGAAATAAAAAGATTTTATTTGCTTCATATCCTCCGCATCTCTGCTCCATTATCTTTGCATATACTGCTACATCATACAATACAGACTGATAGAGTTCTACCAAAGAACAGCTAGTCTATGATTGAGTGATTTAGCATTGCCCAACATACCTGCCACAGATCCAGTAAACACTCCTATTCTAGCTTTCAACGGTCCCCTTTCCATAAACAAGTAGCTTCACTCTAAAATAGCTTTCACACTATTAAACCTCCTAGCCACTTATTTTGACAAGCTCATTTCAAATTATTTTCTCTGGCATCCTCAGCATAAGACCTTGGGCATAGAAAATAGAATCGCAGAAGGAATTCTTCATGGCGTAGAGGTCACACTAAGGCAAACAATTATTTCTTCATAACATGCTTGATGGAAGTACAAAATGTGAAAGGGCTTTGGTGATGGTACCAAGGATGCTGTTGGCTTTCTTTCTGGTAGCTTGCCTCCAGAAGTTTACATAACATGAGGCAATTCTAGCATTACACTCAAGAGATACTAAAATATTAGGAATCAGTTAGAAGATAACTCAAGCTAGCATTCTAGGCTGCATGGGAAGAATTATATCTTAATTGCAAAGGGCCAGCTAGGCATTGATTTTTATTTGTTAAACCATCATAAAAATTTCATTAAAGACTGAAACTCAGGTATCTGACAAAATTCTAGGCCAAACCATAGCCTTTTGTGTAAATGGAAGGAGTTCTGCTATTAAATCATCATAAATATATGTAACTAAGTTTAATTCTTGGTTACTTTCCAGGACTCATACCCAATGCACTTATTTTTTTAACATCTGGAATGTGGAACAAACAGCACTAGATCTAATACATCTGAAACCTTATTTCCATTAGATTTTAGCAACCAGAAATATCATTTCTATCAATATATATGAAATTAACTCATGAAAACCCTTGCACCATTCAATATCTTGCTGAGATAGTGGTAGCCCATTCCTTAGTCACCATAACCCAAAAACCAAAATAGAGATGGAACGCTAAGGGGAAAAAAAACAAAGACAACTAAAATAAAATTCGTTTAGGAAATAATGACCACCTCACAATAAAGGATGTAATTTGAATGCTGAAGTCAAAATATAATCAGATACAGTAAATGTAAAATAGCACCAAAATCATTGAACGATCAAGAAAATAATTGTTTCATTAGCTTAAGGATTTAACTTTGTCCTATTTTCTCCTTTGAAATAGATAGTCAGTATCATGGTGAGGCTAAGCATGCAGGTGAGTCAGCAACAACAACTGAAGGATTTCAAGAAACAAATCATAATTGAAGCATCAGGACACAAAGCTATCAGTTTCTTTAATCTAGCATACCATCACTGGCAGCTCCAAAATCTGGTCCATTTTCACCGTACATAATGTTGACAAGTTCCTTAGCATATCTGTTTAATCAGCATACCAATCAAGATAATTATGTCATGGATAAAATACATATCAGCACCAAATAAAGCAAAGTTCTCACGTAAGATTAGGATCTGGATGACCGTGTCCAAAATCTTCTAAAGGGACCCCATTTAAAATTGATTCCTACATGGCAGTATGGCACACTTAATATATAATATCAACAGCTTTAACTAAAATGACATTGAATTAACTCCCAAAAAAAAAATAGAAGAGCACCATACCGGACTGGCACCTAGTTTATCAACAAATATGGGCCTTGCATAAGCACCAGTAATGGCATGCATGGCATCAAATACGAACCTAAGATGGGGAAAAAATTATATATAAGAGTTCGGGAACTCCAAAACATAATATGCCAAATTCATGAGGATATGCCCAATCCTTTAAGAGCAATAATTTATTCACAAAAAACTTGAGGAATCTACTATATTGACTTCATTGTTTAGGTGAAACAGGTCAACATTTTAGAGAACCAGAAAAACAAAATGCATCAGGCCACGCTGTATGAACAGTGAGTAAGGAGAAAATAAAAACTGAAAGCTATCTTGAAAAAAGTCAACATTATTAAACCTCTTCGACATAAGATTATACCTAAAATCTGGCCGTGAAAGAAGGCTTTTAATTAGCCGGAAATCAAATACAGACTGCACAAAAAATTCACCGAAGCTTAGGTCCAATTTACATTAATCAGTCTGTTATATTAATACGCTGTTAAATATAACAAGGAAAATGAATATTTTCTGTTAAAAGTTCAAACATAATGGTACAGAGGATATCTTCACCTCCAACAGCTCCAAATAGTCAAAAACTGGATCTATCACCTCCACACTGAAGCTTCCATACCTCGTCACCCCAAAATTTGACAAGTCAACATCAGGAATGTCAGCCACTTTTATTTCTGATATCTGTGTCAATAAGAATCTAAGTTTATCAAAAGTGGGCATAGACTCACTATAGTGTGCTCCTTAGCGGTAAGGAACACTATACTTGAAAACATAAACACATGCTCACAAACACATATTCACAAGTTTAAATTGTACCTGTCACATCACTGACACATATGAGCGTGCCCGCACAAACACTCACAGAGAACCCATTACAAATGGATGATGCAATCCAACTCAAAGAATAGCTTGAATTGTTTCATGTAGGGGCAGAGAAGCTGCAACATGCTGATACTTTTTCCTTTTTCCTCTATAGGGGTGGAGTAATCTATGAGATTTATTATTTATAATCTAATACGAGGATCCCACAGTTTACAACATGCACCAGAACAAACGTACTAGCAAACTTGATGGTCTATGGTGGCAAAATATACCATGTTTGACGACTCAACAGATCAAAACATTTGCAAAAAGTATTTAGAACCTTCCCAATACCCCCAACAAATTACTGTTCAGAAAATGCCTGAATGAAATTGCATGTTTTTGTCCATTTTTAACAAATTGAGATGAGAAAATGAACATTGACACTGAGTAAAATATCAGCAGGGCCACGCAGACCCATGTCTAAGCAGCTCTCTTAGTCAACTCTTAGAATTTCATATAAATTTTAGAAAGAAATCCCAATCAATGGTCACTTAGGGTAATTAACATTATAGTAGGCTAGCATATTATTCAAACTTACATGTTGCTAGAATGTTCAATTGAGTAAACTTTTTTTTTTTTTTAAGTCCAAGGTCACAGCAAACCATGTAAGAAGACTAAGATCTAGTCATGTCTAATGCAAATAGGCTTCTACAGTCATCCGGTGGTTCATGTAAGATCATAACATTGAAATTTTCCCAAGATCTATGGGCCAGGAGATCAACACAACTATTTGCTTCTCTATAAACGTGATCAAAGGTGACCACCCAATCTCTCATAGTGAGTTCTCTAATTTTTCTGCTCATGTCAGATAAGGGATGACTTCCAGAGTAGTTGTGGTTGATAAGTGACAAAGCCTCCATTGAGTCTGAGTAGACATTAACTTTGTTTAGTTTCTCATTCCAACAAAGGTTGAGGCCTTTAAAGATTCTCATGAGCTCTGTAGCTGTATTAGGATGGTAGCCAAGAAATTTGTAAAAGCCTTTAATTCAATTTCCCTTATCGTCTCTAATAATGTCTCCACAAATAGCAGCGCCATCAATGCCAACCAAGCCATTAATGTCGAGTCTAACCCAACCAAGTTTAGATGGTTTCTATTTAACATCATATCTAAAGTCTCTTTTGCTCAATTGAGTAACCTTTTGTAGCATATTCCACAAAGAGAAATGTTCATAATAGATGTATGATCAAGGAGGAGGTGGATCTGTAACTATTGTAGCAGATTTTTCATAAACTAATTAACAATCTGGTGCCTAGACTGTTAGCCTAATTTAGCTTTAGTTCCTAAATTATTCAGTACTAGTCTGTCAATGAAAAAAATAAACACACAACATATTATAGTCTTTTTTGTCAAGTGACCTAGGGATGTCAAAAGAACTAACATGCAACTTGTTAGTAGCTCTTAAAGAATAACTTGTGCCTTCCCTTAGTTTTAGGAAATAAATCTAACAATCCAAGGACCAAATTGTTAGTTTAGTCATTTCTCAAATTTCCACAGCTATCAAATTTGATAACCAAACCAAGGCAAACAGATGATAAGGAAAACCTGTTTGCAAATTTGAACAGTAAAATGTCATTCTTTTCTCCAAAAGTTGGTTCCACAAGATGGAGAAGATCGCCCATCATAGAAGTATGTGAAAAATAGAAACAACAGTTAAAAGATAAGGCATGTGACTGTAAGTGCACAAGTGCAGTGTTCATATAGGAAGTGTTAGGAGTCCACTAAGAATTTACTTTACCTATCATGACAAAATTCACAAAGGAAAATTTATAACCTGAAGATAAGAAGAAGAGTAAAGATTATAAGCACAAACTTTGGTATTCTAACGGAAAACACAGGAACGAGCCATTGAACATCTTGACAAAATGAATGTCACAATGGAAAATCAAGGCATAAAATATATAGGAAATACTTACGGATAGAGTGTTCCCATAAATCTTGTCAGTAATGGATTCTGGAGCAGGTTGGCCACTGCTGTAATTAAACTGGATTGAGCAGCAAAGGAACTTGTCAGAAATACCAACCAGCAGGCATACAGCAAATGACTATATTTGATGTGTATCAGTATCAGAAACTGAAAATCCATATCTCCAATTGTGTCTCAGGGAAAACACACACACATACAAACAAAAAGATAATTGAATGTTTCAGCAAATGGCATCCTTTGAATCACTAAGGTTTCTCGAGATATTAACTAATCCCTCATTGAACTTGAAACATCATCAACTTCAGCATCGTGAGAGCCAATATAAAAGTTGAACCATGACCATTTGATGCATGAGAATCAGAAAATATTAAATTACCTTAATGCCCCAATCATATTCTGGCCCACCAGGATTATGGCTTGCACTCATGATAAATCCACCATTTGCCTGTTACAGTTTAAGAAAATAAGTCAAAGAACATATTAGCAGTTGATATCATGCTCTATATGCTGAACCAATGGATGAGGAAATAGAGTTGGACTAGCTTGCCTTCCTCTTCCTTATTACAGCAGAAACAGCTGGTGTCGATAATAAACCTTCCCTGCAATAGGAGTAAAGTTATCAGTTTCTGCAGAAAAAAGCATTTGCAAATCAAATACGTCAAGAAAACAATAATTGAACAATGTCAACTCAAACTGCTTGAAGCAAATAAATTAGCATTAATAGAAAAATAAAACCTAACTCTAGCTCAGAAAAGATTTACATTAAATTTCATTGAGATATGAGACAATACTGTCCAAGTTACATGAGATCTCTGTGCATTAGCATTCACTATCCAGACGCCAAGCTTCAGGAAAATCATCAATTTCAATAGCTGATGCTTTGCTTTCAAGAAACTGATAGTAAACAATTCCACATTTTAACAATGTGCTCCTATTCACCAGTAGCTCTTTACTTACATCTTTTTTCCTATGAGTCGTAGCAAAACCATTTTAAAAATCACCCAAAAAAAAAAAAATACTTACTGGCCGACCAAAATTTTTCCTACACCATTTCCAGCAGCAATCTTGATAATTATCTGCATTATGCCAGAAATACAGAATAGAGAATAAATCAAGGAATTGAATTCTCATGAACATCACAAGGTTTAAATCCAATTGTTGTAGGAACTAATGCCAAAAGTAAAAAGATTGACCTGCGCAGCTTCCCGATTGAAGTAACGACCATCGCCCCCCAAAACTAATAATCCATTCTTGTAGTCCTCCGGAGACAGTGAATTAAACAACGCCTGCAGGTGCACAATATATCAACCAACATAGAGAGAGAAGTGCATAATGGCATGGTAAAACACCGCATATAAATATAAATATCATACCTGGATCCAATTGGCGAGGTAATTTTCTTGCTGAAACACTTTCACCTACAAAATACAGGTAATTGCCCGAAATGAAAAGGTGCTTCTACTACTACTTAAGAGGTTTGGAGCAGATTACATGAAACTTTTATACCCACTTGCTAAATCTAAAAACTTAACTTGATCAAATATTATTTGAAGGGTGACATAAAAAAATTAGAAGTTAGGATTAAGTATAATTGTTTTTTTTTCCCCCTGGAAAGAAGATCCATTACCGATACAAAACAAAAAGTACCTTCTTTCGGAGCCCACTAGTACCAGTTTTTTGTCCTTCTATCGGCTTTGCGGGAACCAAGTTAATCTACAATGCAAGGAAATGTCATTGGCCATAGAGAACAATGATCTATAGGGCAAAAAAAAAAAAACAAAAAGACTGGAGAGCTAACCTTAATGCCTTCTGGCTCTGCAAGAGCAGTGGAAGAGATAGACGAAGATGATGATGAAGCTCTTACAGAGCTACTTCGCAGTACCCGCGATTGTTTTGGAGTTTGAACAAAAACAGGATAAGAGAAACCGGAGAAGGATGGGGTTGGAGGACCAAAAATGGCATTACGAGGTTTAAACAAAGAGAGGAGGAAGCCGTCGACAGTAGTGGAGAAAGCCATTGACAAGTTTTTTTCTGTATTCCTCCCTTCGAGAGGAGAGGAAATAGAGTGAAAAGGACAAAGAAGTGGCAAGCCTGTGTGCTCCGTGATACTGATTATAGGCTGAGTAGTCAGTGGCTTCTATGCGTTGGGGAATTTCATAGCTGCCACATGTACTCCAGCAGACTCATCATTCAAAATCAGCAAAAATCATGTGAATTATTTTTATTTTCTAATTAATAAAATTAAGATTCTCCATACATACCGGTCCCGATTTGTTTTTGAAACTGCTTCTAGTTGTAATTCATGCCACATCTAAGGAAGAAATAATAATTTTTTAATGCTATTTTTATTTTAATATTTAAGTCTTGTTAATGTACAATTGATTAATTTCTATGCTCATATAAGGAGGAGCACTGCTCATCCTTAAAATGAAATTTAAATCATTTAAATTTTAATTTAGATGGTTTAAATTTGATATATTATTATATATTATATTTATTAAAATAAAAATTTATAAAAATTATAAAATAATTTTAATAAATTTTTTATTTTTAGTTTGATCTAAATTTAATTTAAAAGATATAATTTAATATTAAAATATTTATAGTTAATGCATATTGATTATTTAAATGCATTCTGCATAATCCTGAACTATGTAAAATAAATTTAGATAATCAATATATATCAATTATAAAAATTTTCATATTAAATTGGACCCTCTAAATTAAATTTAAACTAGAGTAAAAATAAAAAATTTGTTAAAATTATTTTATAAATTTTATAAATTTTTATTTTAATAACTATAATATATAATAATATTTTAAATCTAGACCATTCAGATTTTTAATTTAAATGGTCCAGATCTCATTCTAAGGATGAGTAGAAAAACTCAATCCTAATATATACTCCCTTATGTCTTATTTATAAATATCTTCAATATTTTCATTGGAGAGAAAAATAAGCTAAACACACATTCGCTTATTTTTAAAAAAATAATTAATAGGCCACATTAAAAATATATATATTCCTTCCATTTAAAAATATAAGACATTTTTTAAAGGGTTAAATATTCAAAAATATAAGTCATTTTTAGTATTTTAATGTATAACCATTGCCTTTTTTTTTTAAGTATCCCTATTAAATAAATCATTTTACATTTATTTTATGATGAAGCACCTTACTAAATAGGGATAAATATGAAAAGATAAAGTTAGTGTGAAGACAAATAACTATTTCATTAAGAGTGACATTTGATTAAAAATATTTTATATTTTTAAATAAAGAGAATATATAAAATTGATATACCAAATTCAAATGAGAAAAATGTAACAAACAGTCTATTTGTCCTTATACAAATGAATAAAAAATATTCTCTCTAAATGTCTTATATGTAGAACTAGATGGAGCACATAACCTCTTAGTCTTTTATATATAACATTTTTAAGTATCTTAATAGAATTAATTAAGGATAGTTAAATTTTAAAAAAATTTCTTACATTTTTAAACGGGATGAGTATAACATCTATAAAGTGCATATAGCATATAACTAGATATAATATAAAGTTTTTGACAAAAAAAAAAAGATATAGTATATAGTATTTAATGACTAAAAAATATAAAAATTATTAATAATAAAATTATAATTTTTTTTAAAAGGAGCATTAAATGTATCTAATTGAAAAACTGAGCTCATGCCTCTTTGCAACTCCGTAAGCTAAAAAAAAAAATGCAACTTCAAAATATTGCAAAAATTGATTTTGCAACTTATTATAAAAAGATAATAATATTCTCACATCATTTTAGTTAAAACTAATATTATAAAAATTGAATTGGCCAATAAATTAGTCAAGGTACGGGTTCACATTTTTATGATTGGACCATACTTTGAACCAGGGTCCTACCCATCATTAATAAATTGATATATTTTAAATATTATGTGTTTAAAGTAAAAAGAAATAAAAATATATAATAACAAAAATGAATGTTTAAATTTCAAACAAAATAATATACAGTAAAAAAGATAATATCCATCAATATTATATCATTTTATCTAATATATATATATATATATAATAATTTCATAATTTATAATTCATTTTTTTGATCATGCATAATTTATAATTTATAACTTTAAAATATATACATATATACATAATTCATACACATTTCTTACATTTTTTTCATTTCATAATGTTTATTAGGTATAAATATGTAGAAATTATAATTTAGAAACATGAATTAAAATTAAAAAATAATATGAGTGATTCAATCGATTCCTAGCCAGTTTGAGACTAGTTCATTGGTCAGTTCTCAAATTTTTTAATTTTCTATGGTGACCAAACTAGATTTAGGACTAGTTCATGATTCAACCAGTTGAATCAGCTAATCCAGTCTGATTTTAATAACATTGATTAAAATTAGAGCCTATAATTTGGATAGATTGGGCTTATTTAAGTTGAATTTAAAATATCATATCATATAAAAAAGTTCATATAATCAAGCATGATCCTAATCCATTAGGCTTTCAAGCTTATCCAAGCTGGCCTAAATACCCAAATTGTTAAATACTATTTTATTTTATTTTTTTATATAATTTCAATTTTTTAAAAATTAATATTTTTAATTTTTATATTATTTTATTAATAATAAAAAAAGGAGTTCAAGTATTAAGGTTTGAATTTGGCTTAAATTTCTTTAGATTTATTCAAGTGGCCCTAATAAACTCGGAGCATAGAAAATTTTTTAAACTCATAAACTCGGCCCTAAGATTTTTCAGGCTTCTTCAAGCTGGCTTGTTAAACTTGGCTCAAATTATCATCTTTAATTAAAACTAAATTATTTGACCCCAATCCAACATATTTTCAAAGAAAAATTACATCAAGGTCTCACATAAAAAAATTATTACTAAAAAATCTCATAAAATTCACAAAATACTCTCAAGTTTCAAATTTTAGTTATTTATAAGTTGTAAACGATTATTGTTCAATTATTAATTTTTTTAGTCAAGTTATAAATATATAAGATTTGAAATTTGAGAGTATTTTGTGAATTTTATGAGATTTTTAAAATTTAGATGTAATTTTTCCTATTTCCAAACCAAACTAACATTCAGTGTTACGTGTTTTATAAGCTAGTAAGAAATGTCCACTTGTCAAAATTTCACTTGTCACATCTTTAGGACATTCTAACTTTGTCTTTCTTTAAATGAATGAGAAACGAGCTATATTAGTGAAGAGAAGTAAGTGATATTAACATACCCAATCGCAAGCATTTTAGGAAAGAAGACATTAATTTCCCTTTGAAAATTATGAAATGTCTTATATAGCGACAAAACATAAAATTTTCTAATGCATGTATCTTATATAGCGACAAAACGTAAAATTTTCTAATGCATGCCTTATATTTAAAATAAAAGGAGGAGCAAAAATGGCACTATGAGATTTCAATTTTGAGAGGAGAAAGCCATAAGCATAAAAGACAGTATTTTGCTCTATCTCTTTTGTTAGGATTAAGTATAATTGCTTTTCTTCCTCTCAAAATGAGGAATACAGAACAAAAGCCATCTTCTTTTGGAGCCCATTCTGGTAATGACCTCTTGCCCTTCGATGGGCAAAGAAAGAAAAGGGTAGGCAATGATGGAGGGGAAGCAAACGACAAAAGCTGTCATGTATACTTCAAGAGACTTGTCCTTCATAATGAGCAAAAAGAAAATCATGAGAATTATTTTTGTATTCTAATTAATAAGATTAAGATCCTCCGTATATACAACAATTGTTTTGAAAGTGATTTTTATTCATGTTACATATAGCAGAGAAATAATAATTGTTTAATTTTATTTTTTTGATTTTTAATATTTGAATCTTGTTGATACATAGACATGTGTTCTTCCTGTTCTTTTTATAAAACACTTTTAAACATCTCACTTAAACTAATAAAAGGTAATTAAATCTAAAGCTACACATGAATAGGGTTGAGCTAAGCATCGCTCCTGTTAGATGCTAGGTTTGACGTGCAATTGAGACTAACCTGGTGCTTAAGTATTTGGGGCTAGGTTAGGCCTGATTAACCTAAAAGAATTTTACAAATGGTTTTTTTTAATCTATAAAAAATTCTTCAAAAAACATATAATTATTATCATTTAAAATATATTTTTTATAGAACAAATATTAGAATCAAAAGTAATTTTTTTAAAATTATACATGATTGACAACTGTAATTTATCGTTAGATAATATTAAGTTAAAAACAAATTTGGAAGTGTGAAAAAGGTTAAAAAATGATAATAATAAGAAATGTCTAAAAAGTTCATAAAAATAATATAGTTCATTTTCATGATATCTCTCACCCAAAAATAATAACATAAAATAAATATTATTCACAAAAATATTAAAAAACAAAAAATGACATACATTGGGGCCGAATGAGGTAGGAAAGGGTCTAGCCCCTGTTCAGTGCCTAACCTAAAGCTCAACCCAATGTGCTTGAATGGCTTAAGCAAGGCTGGGCTAATTGAGCTTTCCAATGATATGAACAGCTTTAGTGAAATCATGAACGAATGTGAACTAATATAGAAAAAAAAAAGTTTTTTTTTGTAGTGTTTCAAACCTCTTGAATTATTTTTTTAGGTTTAAATGTCATTTTTACTCTCAAACTTGTCGCATAAGGTCTGCAGGTGTCTTAAACTTTATTTTGAGGCATTTTTATTTTGAAAACTTGAAATCTACTACTTCATTACCTCAAAGTTAACACACTTAGTGGTTCTATTAATAGGTCCCATCATTTTTGCACAAGTAGCGTTTTTAATATTTTTATTATAAAATATATTTAATTAAGGGTTATTTTAAATCAAAATGTCATAATTTCATTGAAAGTTCCTAAAAACATCATTGTCAATAAATTTTAAATTAAAAAATAATTTATTTTTATTGATAAATTGTGATTTTTTGTTCAATTCTTGTAATTTTTTAAGAAAAGTTATAATTCTTTAAATAAAAATTGTGAATGATATTTGTTATTTTGAAAACTTATTTTTCAATACTAAAAATTATAATTTTTTATTTAACTCTTATGATTTATAAAATAAAATTTATTATTTCTTAAGCAAAGATTGTTA